TTAAAAATACTGTGATTTGGGTCAGGCTCATGTTAGTCCTCAAACTGACATCTTTGCTTTTTAACATTTTAAAGAGATCTTTTGCAACAGACTTGCCTAATGCAATACATCCTTTCATTTCTTGACGGTTGCTTCCATGAACATTGGTTATGGATCTAAGCAAAATGAAGTCTTTGACAACTTCAGTGTTTTTTTGCATTTATCATGATATTATTTATTGGTTTAGTTATGAAGATTTTTACTTTCTTTACCTTGAGATGCAACCAATACTGAATACCATAGTCTTTGATCTTCATCAGTAGGTATTTCAAGTCTTCTTTGCTTCCAGCAAGAAAGGTTGTATCATCTGCAAATTGCAGGTTGTTAATGACTCTTCCTTTAATGCCAATGCCACATTCTTCTTCATATAATTCAGTTTCTTGGATTATCTGTTTAGCATACAGGTTGAATAAGTAATGTGAAAGGATACAGCCTTCACACACACCTTTCCTGATTTTAAACCATTGTTTGTTTGAACGACTGCCTCTTAGTTTATGTACAGGTTCTGCATGAACACAATGAACTGTTCTGGAATTTCCATTCTTCACAATGTTATCCATGGTTTGTTATGAGTTGAATGCCTTTGCACAGTCAATAAAGCACAAATAAACATCTTTCTGGTAGTCTCTGCTTTCAGCCAAGATTCATTGGTTATCAGCAATGATATCCCTTGTTCCACATCCACTTCTGCCTTGAATTTCTGGGAGCTTCCTGTCAAGTATACTGCTCCAACAGTTCTTAAATAATCTTCAGCACAGTTTTTCTTACATGTGATATTAAGGATATTGTTCAATGATTTCTGCATTCTGTTCGGTCACCTCTCTTGGGAATGGGCACAAATATAGGTCTTTTCCAATCGGTTGGCCTGGTAGTTGTCTTCCAAGTTTCTTGGCATATACGGAGTGAGCGTCTCAAGCACTGTATCAATTTGTTGAAACATTTCAGTTTGTAATCTGTCAATTTCTGGAAACTTGTTTTTTGTTTTGTTTTGTTTTGTTTGTGCCAGTGCCTTCAGTGAAGCTTGGACTCCTTCCTTCAATACCATCAGTTCTTGATCATATGGTTCCTCTTGAAATGGAATGGCTGAACATCAACCGATTCATTTTGGTACAGTGCTTCTGTGTATTGCTTCCATCTTCTTTAATGTTTTTTCAGTGTCATTTATTATTTGGCCCATGTTTTGCTACTAAGTGCTGTACAGTCACTTCCAACTCATAGTGACCCTGTATAGGGTTTCCAAGAAGTTGATGGTATGTTTGAACCACCGACCTTACAGTTAGTAGTCCAGTGCTTATCCTACAGCACCACAGCAGGACTCCTATTCTGTCCATGTTGTTGTTAAGTGTGTTGACTCTGTAGAGGTTTTCCAAGGAGTAGTTGGTGGGTCTGAACTGCGAACCTTATGGTTCACAGTCCAGTGTTGATCCTACAGTGCCACACCAGTCCATTTTGTCCATTGTTGTTGTTGTTGTCTGACTCATAGTAACCCTGTATGGGTTTTCAAGTAGCATCTGATGTGCTTGAACTGTCGGACTTGTGGTTCGCAGTCCAGCATGATCCTACAGCACCACACGAGGAGTCTATTTTGTTCATTGTTGTTGTTGTTAGGTGCCATTGAGTTGGTACCAACTCATAGCGACCCTACACACAACAGAACGAAACACTGCCTGGTCCTCACTATCATTGCCATGCTTGAGCCCATCGATGCTGCCACTTTGTCAATCCATCTCACTGGGGATCTTCCTTTTTTCCTCTGATCCTCCACCTTACCAAACATGATAGCCTTCTCCAGTGACTGATCCCTCTTGACAATATGTCTGGAGTATTAGAGACAAAGTTTGGCCATCCTGGCCTCCAAGGAGCACTCTGGCTGCACTTCTTTCAAAATGGAGCTATTGGTTCTTTTTGGCAGCCCATGGCAATTTTGTTATTTTCCTCCAACACCATAACTCAAAAGCATCAATTCTTCTAGGATTTTCCTTATTCGCTGTCCAGCTTTCGCATGCATATGAGGTTATTGAAAATAGCATGGCTTGGGTCAGGCGCACCTTAGTCCTCAAGCTGACATAGAACCCCTCAATATTGCAACACAAGGCTTGAATTTTTTCTTCATTTCTTTCAGCTTGAGAAATGTTGAGCATGTTCTTTCCCTTTGGTTTTCTAACTCCAGGTCTTTGCATGTTTCATCATAATACTTTACATTCTTAAGCTGCCCTTTGAAACTTTTTGAAGCTGCCCTTTACTTCATTTATTTTAGTCATTTTAGTTTCTGTATGATCAATAACAAGTCTCAAAGTCTTTTCTGACAATCGTTTTGGTCTTGTCTTTTTAATGACTCTTTGCTTTCTTCATGTGTGATGTTCTTGATGTATTTCCACAACTCTTCTGGTGTTTGGTCATGCTATAGACCCAGGTTTGATTCACTCAGTAATAGGCCATTGAGTTGGTTCTGACTCATAGTGACCCCGTATAGGGTTTCTGAAGAGTGGCTGGTGAGTTTGAACCGCTGATCTTGTGGTGAGCAAACCACATCACATTTTAAAAGTGGCATTTGAATGCAGCCAACCAGCCTCCCTCCCCCCAAGTGATCTTGATCATATTTAATATTGACAGTATTAGCAGAAAGTTGGTGGTTTGACCCCACCTAGTGACTTTGGTTAGTCCTGGAGTGGCTCTGTAGGATAAGCGTTGTTGTTAAGAGCTGTTGAGTCTGTTCAACCCATATCAATCCTGTATAGGGTATTTCCCAGGAGCACCTGGTGAGCTTAAACTGCCATCCTTGTTGTTCAAACTGACTTTGCGGTCCAGTGCATTAGCCCACAGCACTACAGCAGGACTGGTCTGCTATCCACAAAGTCGGTGGTTCAAATCCACCATTAGCTCCTTGGAAACCCTGTACAGGAGGGCTATGAGTCAGGACCAACTTGATGGCACTTAACAACAACAGCGGCTTGGTTGGGAGAATGACCTGGCAGTCTGCTTCCATAGTGTGAATAACCAAGAAAACCTTACAGAGTCCATTCTGCTGTGTTCTACAGGGTTGCTGAAGTGGAATTGAGTGGTGGATGGCTGTAACAACAGTAATAAAATCCCAATAATGATGATTAAGTCCTGGTGTGGTGCTTTTCGGCGGTTCAAACCCACCAGCTGCTCCTCAGAAACTCTATACAGACAGCACCTAACACCCAGGATGATTGAGCACTACCTGTGTGTCAAAGTACAAGGAGACAGTGAAGCCTATGCATTTAAATGTCCTGGGGGTGGAGGGGGGGTGGTTAGGGTCCAGCAGGGTTGCCAGCGGAAGAGACAGAAAGAGAGCAGCCAACTCTCTTAATTCCAGGTGATTCTCCTACTTGAAATGTGGGAGGGAGGAGTGCAGGGGCTGGATAGGAGTTGGACAGAATGGCCCAGGGGAAAATTATCTTCCGCAGCTGTGATACGCAGTTTCATGCAGTCCTTCTATTGCTGCGGTTTTCAGAGCCAGACCTATGGCTGAGTGAATTAGATCCGGGTCTACAGCGTATTGCACGTGGTTCCGTTCACGCTCCCCAACTTCATTAGTTTCCTTTTGTTGTGTTTGTGCTTCAAATGGCTAGTTCCAGGGTCAAGGGGGCAGTCCAGAGTCACATGCCTACATTTCAAGGTCTTTTTAAAGTTGCTCATTTGATTCTGCCCCTTCCTCACCCATTTGATGTTAAGATGAGTGATCCTTCCTGTGCAGCTAGGCGGGGGCTCCACTCAACCTGGCACATTTGAGCTCTTTCCAGGTTAAACCTTCCAACACCTGAGGTCCTCCGCAGGCTTCCAAAACGTCAGCGGTCCAGCCCCAGGCAGTCAGGAATCTCCATAAACCGAGGAAACAATACGTAGACGCTTCTAAGGCCATTTCCGTTTCGTTTGCAACTGCAGATCAATCCACTTTCCTAGCATCCTGCAACTTCATCGAACTCAATATCTCACCGCACGATACATTCCCATCCCAGTCTCCTGACTCTCCTTAAGGACATATTTGGCTATTTGCAATCATGACTTGCAGTCCTGACATCGCAGAACGAACCTCTACCCAGCCTACCGCAGAAACAGAAGCTTTCCCGCCCTCATGGGCGCTCACTATATGCCAGGCACAGCTCTAGGCGTGCCCTCGTGCAAGCGTGCCACCCCAGATATCGAGGGATGCACCCTCCGTTCCGGAGGTATGGTGGGTCCTCTGCGCGTAGTTCCTGGCCGCCGGGCCTGAGGGGGCGCTCGGTGAATCCTCGGCGGGGGGCAGAACCCTCCCAGCGCGGCCGCCAGCACGCTGGCTTCTCTCTGCAGAGGGCGCCCCCCGCCTCCCGGGCGCGCGCCGCCCGCCCCGCCCGCAGCCTGGGGCGCGCGCAGTGCTCGCACCCCCGCGCGCACGCACGGTCACGAGCGCGCGTGCGCCCCTGCGAACGTCCCCGGCAGCGCAGCCAGCGCGCGCGCAGGGTCGGCGCGCAGGAGTGAAAAGGAGGCGGCGGCCAAGCGGGAGCAACAGATCCGGGCGCCGCGGGCACACCCGCTCTGCTGCTATGCGATTTTCTTAATTTTCAGAAAAATTCACTTCGTTGGAAAATCTTGCATATTTTTCAATGGCGCTGGCCTCGGGTCAGCGGGCAGTTTTCTTTGCCTCGAGATGGGCTTTGCCGTTTCTGTCGGTGGCACCGGTGGTGGCCTGATTGGCGATCTTGTCCCGGCATTCGTAAGGCCAGGAGCCGAGCGCTGCACGTAGCCGAATCAGCCTAGACAGCGACTGGGCTCTTTACATGACTGCTTTTGTTTTGGGCATTGGACAGCCCGTTTCGTGAACTCGGGGCTCTCTGCGGGAAAGGCTGAGAGCCGGAGGTGGGTCGCTCGGGGGTGAAATTCCGCCCGGGTGAGCGAGCCCGGCCCCGCGCGCAGTCCAGGCGACCCGAGCCAGTGTCCTCCCTCCCGGCGCCGGGAAAATGGAGGCTGTGATTGAGAAGGAATGCAGCGCGCTCGGAGGCCTCTTCCAGACCATCATCAGCGACATGAAGGTAAGACTCCGGGGGCGCGGCGGCCGGCGCACAAACCTTGAGGCGCTGCGTCGTCCCCACCCTGGACAGCCCCTAGCCCGTCTGCCCGCCACCTGCGGGAGCCCTCTGGCCCCGTGTCACCTGCACACCCGGGGCGCTGCTCCAGGATGTGCTAGGTCCTTCGGCGGGCGACTTCCCTGGGGGCGTCTGATACCTCCAGCCATCTCTCCGCTCATTGTCCCAGGGGACAACACCATGTCAGTCTCCTGGGGGCTCAGGTCCCCGGCTCCAAGTTTTCCATTGTCTGTCCCCCGACTGAGTGTCTGCGACCCGCGGAGGCCCGATGCCTGTTCGTACACCTGATTTCCCTGGAGACTAGATGGGGGCCTTTGGCGTGGCGGTGGTGAAGTGGGGGAGGTTCTGCCTGGCTGCAGGAAGGAGTCCCCTACCCACCCTTCCTGGGAGACTGAGAGAGGGGGAACTCTCCGTCTGCCTGCTTGGCTTCCATGTCTACCTGTGTGGGAATCGGAGCTAATTAGGTGTTAAATAGACTATTCCAAAGCTGATGAAGGTGTGAGTGGCCTCCTGGGGAGGGGGGGCGCAGGAGTAGAAGTTCCTGGGGCTGTCTTGCGGGGACACTTCTTCCCCGAGGAACTGAGCCACCCTATACTGGGTGGTGGTGTGTTGGAGACGCCCTGATGAACTGTTAGCCCCCGTCCCCCTTACACACGTACACAGAAAGACAAGTACACACTCCAGGTTTCCTCTTGGAAGGATTGTGGAGTGTGTGTGTGCCTGTGTATGTGTGCACGCGCGCGCGTGCGTGTGTATGTTGGGGGTGGGGAGCAACAACACACTAGCTTTTTCTGCAAAGGGTGGGACTGATCCTCGAGGTGGATTTTCTAGTGTCTAGAGATAGACCAGGGCCCGACGTTATGCATCCCAAGGAAATCCAATGAGCAACAAACTGGCTGGAGGTGGGAATTAAGGGTGGCGAGGGCTTTTCCCCCCCATGTGTATTTAGGGAGCTTCCTTTGGCTCTGGGCCAACCCTAGTTTGCCTCCACAGATCCGGGTAGGTGGTGTTGAATTCAAAGCTTGGCTTCCAGGAGGAGTGGGCAGGTCTGGAAAGCTATGGGAGAGTGGGTGTGGACAGCCCCTCTACTGCCGCTGCTTTTGTCTTTTGAAATGGAAGGTTTGGAAAGGGTGCGTACCTCGGAGCTGGATTTAGGGAAGGAATGTCCAGCTGTCAGGGCTGTGGCCCTCTTTTCCAACCAACTGCCACCTCGCCCAGGGTGAACTTTTCCAAGGTGCCTCCACCGTGGTCTCCTCTGTGTTCCGAACCTCCCACAGATCTCTCTTCCTGTAGCATCATCTGCAGCTGAGACCTGCCTGTCCAGGAATGCCTCTAATCCAGCCCCTTGGAATTAGATAGATTATTCCCTGTTTATAGGCAGCCCCTTTCATTCCTGGACCCCAAGCACATATGGAATTAGTGCTCTTATAAGACAAAGATTGATGCCCCTTCCATACACTCAGGGATTACCTATCATTCACTTAAATTCTACATGGCAGTGTAGTCAGACAAGATTTGGTTTGAGGCACACATGGTTTATTCTAATTACCACGAGAGGGATTGGAGACTTGTTGGTAAAGCTTGTGTTTTTTTTTTTGAGGCGCTAAATGGCTGTTTTCAGGCCCTCAGTAACCCTGGGCCTCCAGCGGGTCTGCTCCCCACAGTCTGAGAGTATTCACATTTAGACTTTTCTCTTTGTTCTTGCTATCCAGAATCCAGGCCCAGTTCTTCCCATTCAACCAGTTTGAATCCAAGGCCTTCAGAAAGGAACCCTGCCCAAAGTGGGGTTTATCCTGCTTGCCACCTGCCAACCTATGGCTGCCTTCTGGTGGGGGAATTTGTGGACACTAAGATGGTGTTCTTTGCCCTCTGCAAGGTTACAATTACAAATAAAGATTGTGCTATAATTCACCCCTTTAAAGTGGCTTATAATTAAGAAAAGCACTGGATTGCCGACCTCAAGTCTGGCGGTTCAAACCCACCAGCTGCTCCTCGGAAACCCTAAACAGGATTGCTATAGGTAGAAACCCTATACATGGGCTGCTCTAAGTCAACTGGACAGCGGTTAACAAGAAGTATATTCACAGAGTCCTTAATTCACAACTGTCTAATCTAATTTTAGAACATCTTTATCACCCCCAAATCCCATATCCATTATCACTCCCCATTGCTGCCAGAAGATTCCTTAGTCAGTGCCCTTTTAGAGCTGAAGCTTTAGTGTATGGCCCCTTTGAGTTTGTTAGAGTTTGCTTTACAGCCTACTGGAAAGTTGTCACTTGGCTTTAAAGACTGGTTGGTTGGCTTTGGCAGTAAAATATTTTAAGGACAATGCAGAGCAGAGAGACCAAGCCAGGCCTTGTGTTCTCCGGACTTTGAGACTTTGGGGCAGTGGGGAGCTAGGAAGGAAAAACAGGTGGACGATTGATTACCAAGGTTGTTTATGCAAAAGACAGGTGATGAATATTTTCATGGTGTTTTCTTCTTAAAAGACTTCTTCCTGAATACGTTACCAGTGGTGTTTTAAAAGGGCATTTCATAGGTCTTGGGTTTAAAGGATAAGCAGTGTGCAAGTATGCATATGTATGAAGCTGACAGCAGTCAAAGTCACTTTTAATATTTGCATCAGCTGACTTTCTAATGTCCTGCTTATCCTCATTTTCTCTCTGAACTCCCATGATGGGTTTGTAAATGCCGTTGGTCCCTTTTCTGTTTGCTTTGAAGGATAAGCATAAATGTTGGGAAACCTATCTGGAATGCCATCTTGATAGAATTTTCAGGTTTGCTTTTTAGATTGTGCTATTGGACTGAGGAGAAAAAAAAAAGAGTAAGGAAAATGGTTTTGTTCATAGCACTGACTTCGCTAAAATGTATGGCAGCGCCATTAGCAGCACCGGAAGGGAGTAAATTTCCTCTTTGGAGAAGAAAAAAAAAGTGAAGGGCTTTCAAGGCCTAGCACCATCTTTTTTCTAAAACCAAAGACTCTCAAGACACTTAAAAATGAGAGAGATTTCTTTCTGCTTTCTCCTAATGATACTCCATCTAACTAAGGCCCCAGCCGTCAGCGTGTGGATTTTATCCTTTTTAGGGGGGAGGGTGCCAAAGAAACCCTCGTTTTTCTTCCAGGGAAGGCAGGCAGCAGCTGCTAAAGAACTTAGTAATTCTGTGAGGAGAAGGAAGCCTTGTGTTTTTTCCCGGTTTCCCAACCTTCTGTGGTGGTGGTCACTAATGAGCAGTGGTGTGCAAAATCACTTACAAGCTTCCTTTCCTCCCATCCATGGAAATCACTGCTCCCCTTGGTCTGCAAGTCCTTATGGTGTTAGTTGGTCTCAAAGGAAAGGGGATACGAGATGTTCATGTGGCTGGCTCGCCCAGGGAACAGAAACCTGGAAATGACTGTTTTGCAGGCTCATTGACAGGCTTCTGATGTTTGGACAATGCTGACTCTGCTAAGGAGGTTCTGGAATCTCACAGACCGGTCAGATGCTGCAAACAGCAGATTTGTGTCCTTACTTTAAAAACGTTTTTTTTTTTTTTTCTTTTTTTGGTTGTTGTTGCAAACATAGATGGCAAAACATATCCCAAGTCAACAATTTCTTCGTGTACGTTTCTGTGATATCACGACATGCTTCAGGTTGTACACCGTTCTCAATGTCCTTTTCTGACGTGTTCCTCCTTCATTCACATGACCTCACCTGCTCCACCCCCAATCGTCCTGTCGAACCTTCCCAGTTACAGTTGTCAAGTTGACCCCACATTGATCGTTCTTTCTTTAAGAGAGCCGATGCTCAAATGTACTGTTGCTTTTATGTAACTAAACCTAAAATTGGGCGATGTTTGGCAAACTTGTATGACCCCACAGACTCTACTGGCCAGACTTGGGGCAGCTTGCCCTGCAGATGTCTTTCTTTTTCTAATCATTAACTTGGTTTAGAAAAAAAAAAAAAGTTGAAGGCTAAAACATTTTCCTCATCTTTGTTGCTCAAGAATCAGCTTGTCAGGAGCTGAGTTGGGCCTGATGCAGATGGAACTTTGTACCAGGTGAAGAGTATGTGCGAGCTTATATAATGTGACAGGATTGAAAAAAAAAAAAACCAGGCCACACCTTGAGTTCTCCACCCTACCGCCAACTTTAGAGAGGGGTGTCTTGTTACCTGCACCTGTACCTAGCAGGATAGGGACCTTATTCAGTTCCTCTCCACCGCCCCCACCTCTCTTTGCCACCAGTAGTAGCCTCTCTCCTGAGTTCTGCCTAAAATTAGAACTGCGAAAGGGAATTTTTGAATTCCACGGAAATCTTTTGTGGTTCAAAGGCACGTCATTGATATTTTCCCTCGCTTATCACAAGATCAAGAATGTGGGTAGCCGGTCCAAGGCTGGATAGTGATTTCAGGGTTTGGTTTTTTTTTTTTCCCCTCCTCCCTGCTTTGGCTTTGGGGTTCCTACCAGCCAAGAGACTCACTTGGACAGTTTAATGAGGGCTACTTAGTGTAGCTCTGGTAGCATAGTGGTTACGAATCAGGCTGCTAACCTCAAGGCCGGCAGTTTGAAACTACTGGCAGTTTGAAACTACCAGCTGTTCTGCGGGAGAAAGATGAGGCTTTCTACTCCTGTAAGGATGTGCAGCCTTGGAAATCCTGTGCAGGGTCACTATGAATTGGAACCGACTCTACGGTACTTAACAACAACACTATGTGAAACCTTCTGGTGTGGCACTGTGGGTTAATGCACTAGACTGCAGAGTTGGTTTAAACCACAAGGTCGGCAGTTCAGGCTCACCAACCACTCCTTGGAAACCCTATACAGGGTCGCTATGAGTTGGAACTGACTTGACTGCACTTAAAAACAACTGCGTGTAACCACCACTTGTCAGTTGTACTGTGATGTGGTGTCTTGCGTGTTATTGTGTTGCTGGAAGCTATGTCACCATTATTTAAAATACCAGCTGG